ATATAAACCCTTTCATAAACCCTAAATTATCTCTATCAATTTGTACGATAGCTATGAACAAAACAGTCGTAAGATGTCTTCTTTCTCGTTCACACCATCCTTTGATTCATTTCTCCACCAATTTATCTCTTCTCGAAAGAGTTTCCTCCACCTGTAGCCGTTATCTCACGACTAGGTTTCTCTCCACTCCTCCTTCATCCGATGATGAAATGTGTGGATTCGACGATCCTTTCTCTACCAGTGAGTCACGGGAAGTGGTGTATTTGACTAAAGAGTATTCCTTTTTGCAAGATTCTCTTGTAAACTCTGGTAATGTTGATGCCCACAAAGTACCCGTAACTCAATCCTCCATTGATGCCAAAGCCATTGCAGATGCTGTTTCCTGTGGAGGTGATGTATTTGGTAGCAAATCCCCGAAGTTTCTTAGGCAATTTAGAGAGAAACTGAGTGAGAGCTTGGTGATTGAGGTGTTGCGTTTGGTAGAAAGACCGTCTGATGTTATCAGCTTCTTCATTTGGGCAGGTAGGCAGATAGGTTATAAGCATACACCACCTGTGTATAACGCTTTGGTAGACTTGATTATACGTGATGATGATGAAAAAGTTCCGGAAGAACTCTTGCAACAGATAAGAGATGATGATAAGGAAATGCTTGGGGAATTTTTGAATGTGTTGATAAGGAAGCATTGTAAGAATGGGTCGTTTAGCGTTGCGCTTGAGGAGTTAGGGAGGCTTAAGGATTTTAGGTTTAGACCTTCAAGAGCTACTTATAATTGTTTGATTCAGGCGTTTCTCAAGGCTGATAGTTTGGACTCTGCTTCGTTGGTTCATCGGGAAATGTCCCTTGCAAATCTTAGGATGGATGGGTTTACTCTTAGATGCTTTGCTTATTCCCTCTGTAAAGTAGGAGAGTGGAGGGAAGCTCTAACATTGATGGAAACTGAAAACTTTGTGCCTGATACTGTATTTTATACAAAACTGATATCTGGTCTGTGTGAAGCTTCGCTTTTTGAAGAGGCTATGGATTTCCTGAATAGGATGCGAGCTACTTCCTGCCTTCCGAACGTTGTAACATATTCGACTTTGTTGTGTGGATGCTTGAACAAAAAACAGCTGGGTAGGTGTAAAAGGGTACTTAATATGATGATGATGGAAGGTTGTTATCCAAGTCCTAAGATTTTTAATTCGCTTGTACATGCTTTTTGCACATCAGGAGATCATTCGTATGCGTACAAAGTGTTAAAAAAGATGGTTATATGTGGTCACATGCCAGGATATGTTGTCTACAATATATTGATTGGGAGTATTTGTGGTGACAAAGACTCACTTAGTTGTGATCTTTTGGAACTGGCTGAGAAAGCTTATAGTGAAATGCTTGCTACAGGGGTTGTTCTGAATAAGAATAATGTCAGCAGCTTCACACGGTGTCTTTGTGGTGCTGGGAAATATGAGAAGGCATTTAATGTTATCCGTGAAATGATCGGTCAGGGATTCATACCAGATACCAGTACCTATTCCAAAGTGCTTGGTTATTTATGTAATGCTTCAAAAATGGAAATGGCATTTCTGTTGTTTGAAGAAATGAAAAGAGGTGGCCTTGTTGCGGATGTCTACACATATACTATTATGGTGGATAGCTTTTGTAAAGCTGGCCTAATTGAACAGGCTCGTAAGTGGTTCAATGAAATGAGAACAGTTGGTTGTACTCCTAACGTCGTCACATATACTGCTCTTATCCATGCTTATCTGAAGGCTAAGAAGGTCAGCTGTGCAAATGAGCTGTTTGAAGCGATGTTGGCTGAAGGGTGTGTCCCCAATATTGTTACATATTCTGCTTTAATTGATGGCCACTGCAAAGCTGGACAAACGGAGAAAGCTTGCCAGATTTTTGAAAGAATGTGTGGCAGCAGAGATGTTCCTGATGTAGATATGTACTTCAAGCAGGATGATGACAGTATCGAGAGACCAAATGTAGTCACATATGGAGCTTTACTGGATGGTTTCTGCAAGTCGCATAGGGTCGAAGAAGCTCGTAAGTTGTTGGATGCTATGTCCATGGAAGGTTGTGAACCGAATCAGATTGTATATGATGCTCTCATCGATGGATTCGGTAAGGTTGGGAAACTAGACGAAGCACAAGAAGTGAAAACCGAGATGTCTGAGCATGGATTCACCGCGACCTTACATACTTACAGTTCTCTAATTGATTGTTATTTTAAAGAGAAGCGCCAGGATTTAGCCTCAAAGGTATTGTCTAAGATGCTTGAGAATTCCTGTGCACCGAATGTTGTTATATACACTGCGATCATTGATGGCTTATGCAAGCTTGGTAAAACTGATGAAGCTTATAAGTTTATGCAAATGATGGAAGACAAAGGGTGTCAACCAAATGTTGTGACATATACGGCGATGATTGATGGATTTGGAATGAATGGTAAAATAGATAGATGCCTTAAGCTCTTAGAGCAAATGGGTTCCAAAGGTGTTGCTCCGAATTATGTTACTTACAGGGTTTTGATAGATCATTGTTGCAAAAATGGTGCATTGGATGTGGCCCACAATCTTCTAGAAGAAATGAAACAAACACATTGGCCTACACACGCAGCAGGATATCGCAAAGTCATTGAAGGCTTCAATAAAGAGTTCATAGAATCTCTTGGACTTCTCGATGAGATAGCCCAGGATGACACTGCTCCGTTTCTTTCTGTGTATAGGCTTTTGATTGATAATCTTATTAAAGCTCAAAGGCTAGAAATGGCGCTTAGGCTTCTTGAAGAGGTTGCAACATTTTCACTCACGTTGGTTGACTACAGTAGCACATATAATTCGTTGATTGAAAGCCTTTGCCTTGCTAATAACGTGGACAAGGCTTTTCAGTTGTACTCAGCAATGACGAAGAAAGGTGTCATTCCAGAGATGCAAACATTCTGTAGTCTTATCAAGAGTCTTTTCCGAAACAGCAAGATCAGTGAAGCACTTTTGCTTCTGGATTCCATATCTCATATGGTTTGTCCTCTTTGACTCTTTCCTTATGATTTTGAAAAGTGTAGTAATAGTTAATGTTCTTCAAGCTTTTTTATCTTTGCAATGTTCACATGAACCTATGTAAATTTGATTACCAGAGCTGAATATCTTCTGGGACAAAAAGCATTTACCTGTGGTAGTTGATGTTGTTTATATACTTCCCTCCATCATTGTAATGCAGATTGGTATTTATTTCTGGTATGTCATTATTGTAGGAAATTCAGTGGATAGAAGAAAAGAAGGCATCTGATGGGGCTTAGGCTTATTGATCTATGATGTCTAGTTCTGATTTGACATCTGATGGGAGCATCCTAGTCAAAACCGGGAATTTCCAAGGTTGGAAGCTATGGATAACGTATTGGGAAGACCACTACGAGTATGAGGCGCATTGGGTCTTGGACCAAAATCCTTTGTAAGTTCGTTGGTTTATGTCCGCACATGGTCAGAGTCTACTTAAATTCATGTCTCTACCTATGATTCTGTGGCATGCTTCTGTTTATGTATGCAGGTTCTGCTTTGTACATGCATGATGTGTAAATTTATACTTCTAGTGATTCTCAGTGGAGTTGATTGAGCTCCTTTGAACACTCTACAACAGAGCATTAATGTCGTATAGGTAAGCATGACTTTGGTAGAGGTTGTAAGATCTTGACTAAAAGACCTATGTTTTTTTTTGCTATGATGAGTCAAGCTAATAGCTTCAACTCTTGAGTCCTTGATGAATTTTTGACTGATTATAAGTTTGTAATGGCCACAGTGTCTGAAGTTTGACGTGGGAGCATTTGAGAGAAGCCATAAATGAGTAAACAACCCTTTTAAACTTTTAAGATTCGTTTCTTTTAAACTGTCTATGCACTGTGTTTATAATCTAAAGGCATTTCTCTTTAACTTTTTCTTCCAGTATTCACATAATATCTCATATGCATCAGATACGTAGAGCCCAGTTTCTCTTCTCACTCCGGAATTCAGATCACAATATTGGCTTCTGAGGTGATATTTTACTCAGCTTCCCACTATCTTTTTCCACTTGCATCAGTTTCACATTCTTTTAATATTTTTAGAAGTTGTGTTTTCTGTTTGGAACTTTTAATGAGAATCCTTGCATTACTTGTCATTCTCAGTTAAAATATTCGATAGGTGCGTTTACAGTTGGTTTCTAATCGATTTGTGCTATGTTCTTGACTGGTGCACCTTGTCATATATGATGTTTGGGATGTTGCATCCTGAAAACAACGTCTTTGCATTGTTGAAATCTACATATTCCATGCTTTGTGTTTTGAGAGTTATTATCTTGTATTCCATAGATCTCTGGACTTGCGGGTGACCACTGACACACAGGAAAGGGACTAAGGAGATCTCAAAACATTAAACAAACTTACCTGAATGAAAGCTCTAGTCCTGTCGAAAGACGACGTAAGGTAAGTAGATTGGTGCGCTGCGCTTTCCCCTTTGTTTGTTTTACCTGAGAAGAAAGTGATAATAGAGATGACACCTGACGATAGTTTTCCAAGTACAATCATCATAAGCTTCTACAAATACTAACTAGAACCTGTTTTTTTTTGCCTGAAACAGTTTGGCTTATATACCTGATGAATCAAGCCCCATAAGCTTACTAGCTGAGAAAGTTAATATCTTGTTTTGTTTTCGTGTGTCACGTGAGATGGCCTTCGCTGTCATGTAAAAGAAAAGAAAAAACCATTTAAAAGTATTCCAAAAATGTCATGGAGTAAAAGATATGACCAATATTGGTAAAGGGTAATTAATAAAAAAAAATATAGCTAAAACTTTTAAAATTACTTTTATAAATATCATTTGAATAGGATCCCAACTTGGTAGAGAGACTTGAGTCAAAGATTAAATCGTTATAAGAATGACCATTGACCGGAAAATGAGAAGAAAAACATTGTAGTAATTCGTTATTTTTGGGTCAAACAAGTATAATTCGATATCTTAATTGCATTTCGTGATAAGATTAACATAACATACACATCTGGAATTGGAGTAAGTATAAAGATTTAAATAATAATTTTGAAAGAAAACAACAAAGCAGAAAGAGATGATGAGTGAATAATAAGTTCAATTAAAGCAAAAGGCCAAAGAAAGGGGATTATATACATACAAAAAACGCCAAAGCTTTGAGAGATAACTTTGCTTTTTTCTTTTCGCCATTTCCTAATCTCTCTTCGTCTCCATCAAGCAATC